GCAATAGGCGCGTTCACACCAAGTACTTTTCCCACAAAGGTTCCTGAGAACTCTTTAGTTCTCAGGAACTAAGTACAGATCGCGTTCACACCGGAATAAGTCCCTGAGGGAAGATTAGGCAAATGAAGCCGCTGACGTCACTTCTTCTTCTTCTGCTTTGGGTTTACTGGCAGGCCGCAAACAACTTCACGGCGTATACTGCCACCCAAAATCCCCGGCCGGAAGTCCACGGAGTTGGGGACTGGCTTCAGTAGAAGCTGCTGGGACTCCCAGCAGCTTCTACTGAAGCCTTCAGAGTAAATCGCCAGAACGCCGACACCTCCTCATCTCCACCGCTCCCATGTTTTATGTTAGTCTCTCTGCGTTTCTGCGCTGGGCTAACGCTAATGCTAATAATGCTAATGCGAGGATAATAAAATGGTGGCTTCACAACACTTTTTTTGAGTTTTACGGGGAGTGGTTTGCAATCCGCCCAGCCAATCAGAAATATAGCTCTTTTCTCACATGAGAGTCCCTGCTCTCTAGCAGGGACGGAAAAGGGGGTAAAAAGGTTCTCATGTACTAATTTTAGCTCCGGCTCTTTTTGGTGTGAACGCGACATTTCGGAACTATATCGGAACTAAAGTGGGAAAAGTACTCCGGTGTGAACGCGGCTATTGAGTTCTTTCTGATCTGTTAGCTCACCGTCTGGAGGCGGGCTGTCTATCAACGTCGCTTCCTGCTGCTGTGTGATTGGTGGAGGCTTCTTCCCCCGACCATCTGATCCGCGCTGCATTTCAGCGAGACGCTTCACAGCCAGCATCAGCTTCTTCTGGTGGCCTGAAAACAATAACAACAGTGCTTTAATTAAGATCCCCTCTATACGTTTACATAAAGTATAAACTACATCATTATCAATCAAAGAGTACACATGAGCTATTACTATGAAGGCTCAAAGCAAGTATAAAGAGGCATAAGGTGAATTATTAACCTTACCTTCATTTGAACTTAAATTAACCACATACAGTATGAATGTGTTTCACAGATCCAACCTTGGGCTAAAATGTTCTTCATACGTACTGATGTCAAAACAATAACTTACCCAGTTTGATGATGCCTATTTCCTGCAGGTCCTCCCAGGTGATGTCGGTGATGAACTCGATGTTCTCGTAGCCGTTCTGAACCAACACCTGGTGGTACTGACTCAGCCCGATCGCAGACAGCCACTCGCCCAGATTGGCCTGGAGGAAAACACCAGAAGCATGAGATAAGATGGATCTTTATTAATCCCCGTGGGGAAAGTCAGCACATGCGGGTTAGGTGCATGGCGCTAACGCTGTGTTGTGTTTTACCAGCTTTACTCTTAATAAAGCTTGTGTTTAGATATTTGCACATGCTTTCTGTTCGCTCTGCGTTTGTGTGTTCATCTAAAAAAGGCAAAAACAGCGGGGAAGCAGGAAAACACAAAGACAGGAAGTGGCACAGGGTGTTTTTTCAAAATAAAACAAAAACACATGGTGTTGTGTTGTCAGTGTTGGGTTGAACTCACAGGTTTGTGGTCAGGCAGCCAATCATTGACACCCAGTTTGTTAATCTCTGACGTCATCTTCTTTCTGTGGCCCGGTTTAGTTATTCCAATCGCCGTCAGATCCTACACACACACGCACACGCACATGCACACGCACACGCACACACACACGCACACGCACACACTCAAAAGTAAGGTACAGTCGTGGCATGTACAGGCTTTTTCCTTCCTCCAGACAATCTCCCAAAGACTCCAGCAGAGAGACACACACACACACACACACACACACACACACACACACACACACACACACACACACACACACACACACACACACACACACACACACACACACACACACACACTTACTACACTACTACTACTAACTACTACTACTACTACTACTACTACTACTACTACACTACACACACTACACACTACACT